AATTTATTTGTGTGTGTGTGTGTGTGTGTGTGTGTGTGTGTGTGTGTGTGTGTACATAGAGCAGCAGCTTTATAACTCTATGCCTGGCTCTTAAGGATGCAAAAAAGGAATTATATTTTCTAGATTAGACATGTAAACTACCCCTAAGAATAATTCTAATCATTAAAAAATTTGAAATAAATATTTTATTGTAAGTAAATGAATCTAAGAAATGTTACCTTTAGAGCTGTGCTATCCAGTGGGAAAGACACCAGACACATGTGGCTATTGAAACTTAAAATTTGGCTAGTCTTAACTGCTGAAATGATGTTTTAGATGTATTGGTTTAAATAAAATATAATATGAAAATTAAGTTCACTTGTCCCTTCTTACTTTTTTATTTTGCTACTAGAAATTTGAAAGCTACATATATAGCTTATGTTATATATCAATCAGACAGCGTTGTTCTAGAGGGTCAAGTTTGATTATCCGTAAAACACATGAAACTTATTCTACAACCTCAATAGTAAGCAAGATCATATTCTTTGGGGAAGATATTATCTCTTCAGTTTAACATTTTAATCAGACTTATAGGATTAATGAAACTAAGAGGTTCTTAGGTAAGTGAAAATAAGGAACAATATTTTAGTGAATTGAAAAGCCACAAAAGGATAGGGTTTGTTATCTTTAAAAATGTCTATTTTAACAGTTTAAACAGAATTGTTCATTTTCATTTGGATGCTTTTCCTAGGTACACATTCACTGGAATCTATACCTTTGAGTCACTTATAAAAATCTTGGCCAGAGGATTTTGCTTAGAAGATTTTACATTCCTTCGTGATCCATGGAACTGGTTGGATTTCAGTGTCATTGTGATGGCGTGAGTATTTTTGAAAAATTGTTAAGCTCAAAGGAATGACAACAGTCATAGCATAAATCAGGTTGTTGCAACATATTTTAAATGTAGAGTTTATTAGCCAAATTAACTATATGCCCCATATATTTTGAGAATACATATTAGAATACATATTGCAAGGTAAATTTATCTGGTAAATGAGCAATAAATGAAATTACTTTCATGTGATATAGTCTTCCACTTCATCAAAATGAAGTTATTCATTGATTATAATTTAACACCACCACTGTACTTTGATTAGTTTTGCAAACAAACTTGTTCACATTCATGAAAATTACAGTGAAATAAAGCAAAATAATTTTATTCCTTAAAAGCACTTTTTAGCATATGGCACCCTGAGGTCTACAGAAATTCCATTTGTTAAACTCAAGGGGCTTTATATGCCCAACCCAGCATGCATTCTTGATTTAGTATAGACTTTGCCAAAACTATCAGTAACTCTGATTTAATTCTACAGGTATGTAACAGAATTTGTAAGCCTAGGCAATGTTTCAGCTCTTCGAACTTTCAGAGTCTTGAGAGCTCTGAAAACTATTTCTGTAATCCCAGGTAAGAAGAAACTGGTGTAAGATGGTAGGCCCCTTATATCTTCAACTTTTCTTGTGTGTTGTTGTGTTTGTGTGTGAACTCCCTATTACAGATATGTGACAGAGTTTGTGGACCTGGGCAATGTCTCAGCGTTGAGAACATTCAGAGTTCTCCGAGCATTGAAAACAATTTCAGTCATTCCAGGTGAGAGCTAGGTTAAACACCAAGGCTGACTAAATATACTGTAATGATATTGAGGTTCAAATCGCACTTATAACATTAACCTTGCTGCTCATCATCCTTGTTGCTTCTCATCTTTAAGAATGCCAAAAGATGTGTCAATGCAGTTCAGTTCCTAAAATTTTAGAAATTACATATTTATTTATCAAGTCAGCCTTTGAGTTTAACAGAGAATTGCACGTGTATAAAAAATATCAGTTTTGCTCTCTCCCTCTATTTTTCCTTTTATGATGTAAAGTTTTCTCTTTTACATTCTTAAAGCTTTGCTGCCATGGCTTTACTAACTGATTTGGAGTTTACCATTCACTGCAGATCTGTTTGAAAATGGATCTTCTTTTATAAAAGAGAAAAGATTATTATTAAACGGCATGCACATGGCATGGGAAATTCATCATTTTAAAATTCTTTTCTCTTCTAAATCACTGCTACTGGGAGGCTAGTATAAAGAAGGGGTTGGAGGGAAATAGAATCACGAAACACAAAATCTGAAATGAAAAGCAACTGCAAGCTTGTCTTTACATGTTTATGGCAGCATGTAAAACTACACACACACAAAGCTTTCCTGCCTAGATAGTTACACTTTCATTTTTCACATCCAAAAAGCACACTGTTCATAAATAAAATCTGCTCTTCATCCATTGCTCAAACCATCTGGCTGCCCATAAAGCTTTGATGTCTAAACGGCCAAGCAAATATCTGTGGGAAAAGAGAACGTATATGACTATTAAGAAGACACTGTGGCTATGGCACTCTTCCTCAGCTGACACATCGTTCTCTCTCCTTAGGTTTAAAGACCATTGTGGGAGCCTTGATCCAGTCTGTGAAGAAGCTCTCAGATGTCATGATCCTGACTGTGTTCTGTCTGAGCGTGTTTGCTCTAATTGGTCTGCAGCTCTTCATGGGCAACCTGCGGAATAAATGCTTACAATGGCCCCCAAGCGATTCTGCTTTTGAAAGCAGCACCACTTCCTTTTTTAATGGCACAATGGATTCAAATGGGACATTTGTTAATGTAACAATGAGCACATTTAACTGGAAAGATTACATTGAAGATGACAGTAAGAAATATTGCTACATTGTTTAACCTTAGCTGTTAATGAATGAGTTTTCAGCTATAAATAGTTGAGGCTGTGGGTGTGAAGCCATCTTTGTAAATATAATTTATTGGTGTCCATGTTGGACATAACTGAGATAGCCAAACTCTCATTTATTCCTAATGTTAACAAAATTGATATGAAATGAAATAGTTTATTCTTTATATTAACAGGTCACTTTTATGTTTTGGATGGACAAAATGACCCTTTACTCTGTGGAAATGGCTCAGATGCAGGGTAAGGAACAACTTTTTTTTAAAGATATAGACCACTTTGAAAAAAAGCAGATAAAAGAAAAATATATAAGAATAGTGTTACATGTATATAACAAAGAGTGGTGCTGTCTACCTAGGAAGTACCTTATCTGTCTTACTGCATTGCTATTAGTTCTAAACTCACAGCCATTAAAATCATCCTTTTGGGTGAAGACCTTTTCTGTGAAGTTTCACAGTTAAGATGTACTTGAATTATTGCTCCAAAATGTGAAGGCTTATAGTCTGTCTTTTCTGTAAACTTATCAGAGCTGTTTACGAAATACAGGGAAGGAAATACAAAATGGGCATGTTTTAGTCGGTGTTGGTATATGTTGATGGGATGTTTTGCTGGAAAAAGATCCAGATTATAAGGTGGTCTTCAGGATACAAGTCCATTTGGGAAACTGCTTTAAGAGACTTAATATTCTTGAAATAGCATGACCCCCGGTGTACAAAGAACCCACAGTGCAGATTTGTGTCAAAGGCATGTTCAAGTCTGAGACTGCATACTACACAGTTCTTTTTGGTCTCATTCTACAATAACAGATGCTGTAATATCTTAATCACCCTGATAGTCTCATACTTAACATATTTTCCCAAGAATATTATAAATTCATTTTAAGTCAGGGTAGAGGGTAAATTTTTTAGACACCAAGGGATAGCAATAGTAAGTGACTCTTAGACCACAGAACTTACAAAGAACATATTCTGCAAATTAAAAACTGGTTTGGATATAACATCTAACAGTGTTACTGAAAACATATACCAGTCATAGAGGTGGAGCAGAGGGGAGGATTTTTTCCCCCTATTAGTTTCCCTAACCTTTGCTATGAGAATATAGTGAATAAGAGCATAGGTTCTAGAGTTCATAATACCTGGCTTCAAATCCTAACTCCACCATTGAAAAATTCTGTTACCTTGGAAAAGAGCCTTCAGTTCTCTGTATTTGAGCTTACTTATTTCTAAAATGGGGAGAGTAATATCACCTCTCTCTAAGGGTTGTGATGGTGATGAATTAGTTAATATACATAAAGCACTTGGGCTAATCCCTGGTCCATCATAAGTATTTATTGCATGTTACCTATTATTTCTTATTACTATATTATGGTTAATGTAAAAGACTAGGTAACATTTTGGATAAGGTTGCTTAATACATGCCTAATCCCTATTAAATAATAATAATCACTTCCCTTTATTGAGTACCTACCATGGGTTAGGTAATTTACATGGTAAAATTGATAGCTGCTCTATTGTTAAATGTCTGGCACAACTCTAAGACTATCTCCCCAATTTTAAGACTTCTTATGAGGATACAGTAATCAAGATAGCATGGTACTTGAAAAATAGACATAGAGATCAATGGAAAATTACAGAAAGCAAGAAAAGAGAGAGAGAGAGAGAGAGAGAGAGAGAGAGGGAGATGTACAAATGTAGTCAACTAATTTTTGACAAAGAAGAAAATGTAATTCAAGGAAAGTTTTCAACAAGTGGTGAAGGAACAATTGGAGATCTATATGCAAAAAAATGAACCTAGATATAGATCTTACACCTTACACAAAAATTAACTCAAAATCAATCATAGACCTAAATGTAAAATACAAAACTACAAAAATTCTTTAAGAAAATATAGGCTAAAACCTACATACACAACTTTGGATTTGGTTATGAGTTTTAAAAGTAACACCAATAGCACAATCCATGAAAGAAAAAGATGGCAAGTTGGGTTTTATTAAAAGTTTCTGCTTTGTAAAGACGCTATAATGTGAATAAAAAGACAAACCATAGATTGGGAGAAAATACTGCAAAATGCATGTCTGATAAAGAACCTGTATCCAAAATCTACAAAGTACTCAAAACTCAACAGAAAGAATACAAATAACTCAATTTAAAAATTGGCAAAAAAATCTGAACAGACACATTACGGAAGAATATATACAGATGGCTAATATGGATATGTAAAATGCTCAACATCACTTGTCATTAGGGAATGGAAAATTAAAACAGCAACGAGTTACTACTATACACTTGTTAGAATGGCTAAATCCAAAATAACCTGACAATAACAACTGCTTATGAGGATGCAGAACAATAGGAACTCTCATTCGTTGCCAGTAGGAATGCAAAATAGTATAGTCACTTCGGAAGACAGTTTTTTACAAAAAAACAAAAAACCACAGTCTTACCATACAATTGTCCTGATAGGTATTTAGCCAATTAATTTGAAAATTTGTGTCCACAAAAAAACCTGCATGTGAATATTTATAGCAGCTGTATTCATAAGGAGAAACTGGAAGCAATCAAGATGTCCTTCAATATGTGAATGGATAAACAAACTGTGGTATACTCATAGAATGAAATATTATTCAGTGTTAAAAAGAAATGAGCTACCGAGCTATAAAAAGACATTGATGAGCCTTAAATTTATATTAATATCTGAAAAAAGCCAATACGAAAAAACTAGGATCTCACTTTGTCACTTTGTGAGGGGTGAAACGGAAAACTATTGCATTGTTTTGTACACCTGAAACTAAAACAACAAACAAAAACTGTCAAGGTCATCAAACACAAGGATAGTCAGAGAAACTGTCACTGCCAAGAGAAGCCTACAGAGTGGCTTAAATGGAATGCGGTGTCCTGGGTGGGGACTTGGGACATAAAGAGGATGTTAGGGAAAAACTGAGGAAATCTGAAGAAAGTATGGACTTTGCTTTATAATAATATATCAATAGTGATTGAAATGTACTATACCAACATAAGATGTTAATAATATGGAAAACTGGGCCTGGGATATGGGGGAAACCTGTACTCTTTGCAATTTTTATGTAAATCTAACACTGTTCTAAAATATAATTTTTATTTTAGAAAATTCTACAGGACTGGTTAATGAAGTAGCTCATTAAGTGGTTCCCTCTCCTTTGGCTGTTTTCCGTGTTTTCATTTTTAATTGCTGGTTCTTGCCACTCTGTAAAGAGTAGGATATTGAGGTGTCAGAGACAGACGTGTGTGATCGCTACCTCTCTGCCATCCTAAATGTCTACAAATCTGACTCCTTTGCACCTAACTTTCTGTTGGTTTTCCTAACAAACTTCATCTGATAACAATTTCACTGTGAGCAATTATCTGAAGTGTTCTGGAAATGAAGGGCAAGAAAATTCATCATAGACAGCAACTTTGAGTTTTGACAACTCCTATAAATCAACATTGACTGAAATAGCAACATAATTCCTATGCTGACCCTAGCTCCATTTTGCTCTTACAGCCAGTGTCCAGAAGGATACATCTGTGTAAAGGCTGGAAGAAACCCCAACTATGGCTACACAAGCTTTGACACCTTTAGCTGGGCTTTCTTGTCTCTATTTCGACTCATGACTCAAGACTACTGGGAGAACCTTTACCAGTTGGTAAGTGTCTTAGTCCACTTGGGCTGCCATAACAAAATACAACAATAGCTTATAAATAACAGAAAGTTACTGCTTACAGTTCTGGAGGTTGGGAAGCCCAAAATCATGACACCAACATGATCACATTCTGACCAGAACCCTCTTCCTGGTTCACAACTGATAAGTTCTCACTGGGTCATCACCTGGTGGGAGGGACAAAGGTTCTCAGTGGAGGCTCCTTGTTATACACTACTACCGTTCATGAGGGCTCCACTCTCATGACCTAAGCACTTCGCAAAAGCCCCACCTCCTACCACCATCACAGTGGGCATTAGGATTTCAACATATGAATTTTGCAGGGACACAGCATTCAAGACATAGCAGAAAGGTTCAAATTAGCATGCATGGGGATTAATTTTATGAACACACATGAAATGACAAATATGGATACTTGTTTACAACACTCTAGAATACAGAGGAGGGTCCTATATAAAGTAAGTGTGCCTACAATCCCGATTGTTCATTCAGTCAGTACGTGAAAGGCATTCTCCTAGGGTCTGTGGAGGATGCAAAGAATGTTCATGACTGAGTTTAAAATCGAATTGTAAATATAAAAAGAAACATGTGAAAAGATTTAAAAAATCAATTATATAAAGTTTTAAATTAGACCTATGATTAAGTGGGGCTAGAAGAACGAGAAGGAAGATGTCTCTAGATGGTGTAGAGAGTAGGCTGCAACGGAAGTGGAACTCCACTGAATATCACTTGTAATATTGTCCTGCATTACAGACTCTAAGAAATACATTTTAATGGAGATTAAATATATATCTAATATATACTAATTTGAAATGTGTGTGCTTATCTCAAATGACTCTACAGTCAAGCCTCAGATAATTTATTTGTGTGTGTGTGTGTGTGTGTGTGTGCATGCACGTGTGTGCACACATGTGTATTTAAAAAAAAATCTTGGTCAAAATACATTGAATGCTATAAAGCATTCATCTCCTGACTATCTAATTATAGTAATCAGATCTTTATTGACAATATATAAAATACTGATAAAATGATCCCTTTTTCCCCCTAGACGTTACGTGCTGCTGGAAAAACCTACATGACATTTTTTGTCCTGGTGATTTTCTTGGGCTCTTTTTATTTGGTGAATTTGATCCTGGCAGTAGTGGCCATGGCCTATGAGGAACAGAATCAGGCAACACTCGAGGAGGCGGAACAGAAAGAGGCTGAATTTCAGCAAATGCTTGAACAGCTTAAAAAGCAACAGGAAGAAGCTCAGGTACTGAGTGATAAGCACATTTTTATTATTATTGTTATTGTTTTAAGTAAGAATATTTTTGTACAATAGAAGTCAAAAAGGTACTGGCTTTTCATTTGGTATACAGGGATTCTTATTAGAAAAGAGAAAATAATTCACCTCAAATTATTTCTGAAGATGGAATAAAGAAACTTTTTAGATATTATATTGTATATAAGACAATTAGATGAAGTAGAAAACACATTTGAGATAAGGTTAACTATGCAATTGTCTAATAAAACCTGAGGGGGAAATCTGATTTTCAGTTAACATGAAAAAGATACATAATTGTTATTTCCAACCATTGTGTTTCACTCCTAATTATAACATTTGAGGTTGTCTTCTGAAGTTAATATATCTCAAATCAACAAGAAAGCTTTATGTATATCTACTCTTAACCGTTCTTGGAGTTTCTGTAGCACAAAAGGTGTTTGCTGTGGCCCCTATCAGGATATCAGAAAGGCATTTACCTGCTATTACGTACCAACTTAAATTCTCAATATTAAAGGCTGTTTGGGCTCGGCGCATGGTGAATGGGGCATTTATGTCTTGAGGAGAAGAGACATAAAAACAGTATTTAATTAAAAGGAACAAAACATAAACTGAAAGGTGAAAATCATGCAAAGACACAGTGAGATCTAATTTATGTCAGAGAGAGTTATAGTTGCCTCAAATACATCTTTGCCAACATTTGGTACAGTCAGTCATATTAGCCATTCTACTAAGCATCTCATTGCTGTTTTGTTTTGCATTTTTTTAATGACTGATGATGTTGAGTATCTTTTCATGGTCTCACTTTCTATATATACAGCTTCTATCTTGAAGTGGGTGTTCAAATCTTTTGTCTATTATATTAGCTGAGCTATTTGTTTTTGTAATTACTGAGTTTTGAGTAGTCTTCATATACGCATATTCTGGGAATAAGTCTTTTACTCCTTTGTGATATATATGATTTGCAAATATTTTCTCCCAGTCTGTAACCTGTCTTTTTATTCTCCTAACAGTATATATTTTTTAAGGTAAAAGTTTTTAATTTTGATGAAGTAAAGTTTATCAAGATTTTTTGTTTGTTTGATCATACTTTTGGTTTTGTATCTAAGAAAATTTTGCCAAATCGACATCACAAAATTTTTTTTTCCTATTTCTCCTTTGAGAAGTTCAAAGTGTTGTGTTTTATATTTAGATCAATCACCCTTTTTTTTTTTAAGATTTTTATTGGGGAATTGGGGGAAGGGGAACAGACAACTTGCTGTCCTTTTGTTCTTCAGTCTAGTTGTGGAGGACATTGCTTCACTGGCCCAAGTTGGTACCATCATTGTGCTCTTCCCGGGTGAGGCAGATCAGTCACCAGCTTCTGGACGGCACTCACGCTGGCTGCTGACCACTCACGCTGGCTGCTGGCTACACACGGTATAGCCCCTGGCAGCCCACTGCCGCAGGGGCTGCAGCCTATGCCGTCGCTGGCAACTCACAGCAGCCCAGCTCCAGGTTGAGCTGTTGTTCAGCATCTTAGCTGTGGAGGGCAGTGTCACTGGCCCTCATATGTGGGATCCGAACCGGGGCCCTCTGGCGTTCCAAGCCATCTCTTAACCACGGCACCACTCGGCCGGCCCCAAAATCAATCACCCATTTTAAGTTAAGTTTTGTGTAAAAAGCGATTTATGTGTTGAGATTTTTTTTCAAAGATTTTTTTAAATATAGCTATCTAATTATTCCAGCACTATTTGTTGAACAAAATATCCTTTCTCCACTACCTCCCCTTTGAACCTTTGTCAAAAATCAGTTGTCCATATGTGAGTGGGTCTATTTCTGGATTCTATTCTGCTAAATTGATCTATTTGTCTCTTTTTACACCAATACCACACTCCCTAATTACTGTAGCTGTTTAATAAACCTTGAAATCAGATAGTGGTAGTTCTCCAACTTTGATTTTCTTTTTCAAAGCTGTTTTGATTATTCTAGGTCTTCTGTAGTTTCATATGCATTTTAGAATCAGCCTGTTAATTTCAGTCTAGATAGTTTCTATTTCTGTATCTTCAAGTTTATCTTTCTTCCTCCTGCAATGCCATGTTTCCATTAATCCCATCCAGTGTATTTTTCACATTAGACATTTTAGTTTTCATCTCAAAAAGCTTGATCTAAATTTCTCTTATATCTCTCTTATTTCTAGCATTTTGAACATACACAATACAGTTATAATAACTACTTTAAGTCCTCATCTGGTAATTCTAACGTCTATGTCAGATCTTGTTTTTTTAATTAATTTTTTCTTCATTATTGGTCATATATTCCTAATTTTTTGCATTCCTGGCAATCTTCAATTGAATTCCAGACACTCTTATTTTACTTTTTTAGGTGCTGAATATTTTTGTATTCCTATGAAAATTCTTGATCTTTGTTTGGGGACATAGTTACATTACTTATGAACAGTTTGATCCTTTTGGGTCTTCAAACCTTTGAAGATTTGTTAGGTAGAACTAGGGCAGAATTTAGTCTAAGGTTAATTATTCCCTACATCTAAATGAAAATTCTTCTGAATACTCTGCCAACATATCATTTATTCACTGTCTTCAAAACCATTGCTACATGTATTCTTTCTGTTTTGTTGGTTGTTTCAGGAGAGAGAACAAATGTGATCCTTGTTACTATTTATTGGCCAGAAACAGAAGTCCAGATAACTTTGTACATGGTGACTTTTTGATACATGGTGATTTTTTTTTGGATAGATGGTTCCAGATATTTGAAGCATTATTTGAATGGCAGTATGTCCTCAGGATTTGTAGGTTCAAATTTTAAATTTTTAATAATTGTAAGTTACTTTAAATATACACACCATATAGCATTAGGTCCTTTTTTGAGGGATTTTTTTTTGTCTTTTAATTTTTTTTTATTGTTAGTTTCAGGTGTACAGAACAATGCAATAGTTACCCTTTTTCACCCTCACCAGGTAACAAACCCCCTCCCCCCATCTATTG